CCCCAAAACCCCAAAACCCCAAAACCCCAAAACCCCAAAACCCCTTATGCGTGAATAACTTTTAATAAAAGTGGATTGAAAATTATGAAATGAAAATTAATTTCGTTTTATGTTTTAATCGTCACAGATAAGTATTTAGGGCTCAATTGAGCTTGAATCTGTCTAGAGCAGCTCTGAAATGCATCATGATTTTACGGTGACCGTCTGAACCCTAGTAGACACTGCAACCTGGATTTCTTTGTTGTTCGAATGGATCCACTATTGAGAACGGATACTTGTCTCTTGAGCATTTAGCAGAGTATCCTCCTCCGTTCTTGATATCAATAACTTGCTTATTTGATTCGAACTCGTGTGTGTAGAAATAGAAAAAGTCATAGAGGAGTTAGGCCACTGATTAATTGTTTTTCTCCTTTGGCATGTAGAATTCCTGGATGACTTTGATATCATTCTCAAAGAATATGTCAGTTTCAGTGAGACAATACATCGAGGTTGATGGGTCCTTAGATTTTGAGTTGCCTAAGGCATTTCTTCTTCTCTTACTTTCAAGCTGATCTATTGGCATGGGGTAAAAGATAATTTTCTTTTGTTATCTGTCTCTTTGCTTTTTCTCTTGAAGGCAAGGCAACACAGGTGGGTTAGTTGACTGTAAAAATGCAATCAGCATCAAAGTCAATGCATAAGAACTGAGAAGTCCGTATGCAGCTCCAATAATTTCTACCTTTTTTGACCAGTATTTGATAAAAAGACTAAGAATGTGGAATCTTTAATCAATCTAACAGTAGGTGTAAATTAGATCAGAATTGTTGATGCCCAAGATGTTGTTTACATTGAAGTCTACTTCAAGTCCTGTCTAGTTTTCTTCAAATTTAATGATTGGGACTCTTGAGGCGGGGATGTAATTCATTGTTCCCTTTTTAGCAACCTTCCTAAGGATGGGTACACAACATTTCAAGAGTTAATGTTGATTGTACTCTAGATTTTCAGTTATAATACAAGTCACATCAATATCTGATTTTTCAACATTCCAAAGGCCATTCTAGCAAGATCCAAATCCGCTTATTCTGATCTCACCTGCCAATAGAGCTGGATATTCTCTATCATTTGTGTTCTTGAATGCATTCTTGATATTTGTAATAACCTTATCTCTGATTTCTAAGTCTTCTCTGCTGACACTCTACTCTCTGTAAATTTACTTGATTAAGCTCTCAATCTCCAAAAGCTTCTTTATTCCTCTAGGGGTTTTAAATTGGACTGGAGTGATGGTGTGTGCCTGTTTTATTTGATCATAAAAAGTAGCTTGCTCATTGTTTACTCTATCTCTAAATGATTTGAGGTACATAGTATTGGCTGGATCCTCCTTTTGATTTCTCTTATTCTTTGGAGGAGGTTACTTGTATTCCTCATTTTCACTTGATTCATCCTCAATGTCAATGTACTCGTTTTCACTGTCTGTCTCTTGCTTCAAATCACCAGCTGGATCTATGTAAACTCCTTTGTCTTGATTCTTGGATGGTCTTTCATTAGCAGCGTCTTTTCCCAAAGCGATAAAGTTGCTCTTGGTTTCATTTTTTATTTTCAACTTTTCTTTCGCTACATTTTCCTTAGAGAGGAACCTGTTTGCTTTGAAGTATAGAACATTTACCTCATTGATATCGAGAATTCCGCACTTGTCGATTGCTTTGATAACTTTCTTGTATGTTCTAGCTTAGAATGGAGTCTTGAATGTACCTAACTTTGTATCTAAGATCTAGAAAAGTCTATATTAAACCTCATCTCTACTATGCTTTGGAATGAACTCATTTAAGACTGCATCCTTTATGTCTTAATCAATTTAGACAAAATCTTTCTTATTAGCGTCTGAGAAATTCAGAACTATGTCTTCGATGAACTTATCTAAGGTATAGCTATCTCCAATTACCTTCTTCTACTTTGAAGACTGAGATGGCTGCTGCTGTATCTGTTAAGAATTATTAGCAGCAGATTATTGCTATTTCTTTTAATACATTTTCTTTGGTGCTTCCTTCTCAACAATTTTTGGTTAATTCTTAGGCTATTCAGGGACCGACTCTTGCTCTTACTTAGGTGGAAGAGCGATTATCAAAGAAGAGAATATAGTTGAGTAGCTATCTTGAAGCTTAAGATCGGCAAATCTCTTAGATTGCTCTTCAATAAAGGGCTAGAACAAAGCATCAAACTTAACTGGCAAGTCCTTTGTATCTTGAACTAGATTTTTAGAGTTTTTTGAAAGATACATCAAAAGTCCTTAAACTTCTTCCTTAGAGAAATCGTACTTAAACTTTTCAAGCACCCATAAAATGATATCACGTACAAAATGATAATAAGATTTCTTATCTGAGAACATTCTTTTTAAATATCTCTTTTCCTTATTGATTTGTTTATCAATCAAAAACAGTTCTTTCAAGTACTTTGACATATTGTTCACCTTCTTATTCTTAAATAATTCTGTAAGCTTCTTTTTATTACTCTACTCAAATACCACATCATCATCAGCTAAATTGCATTTGGTCAGTAATGTTCTAAGATGAGTCATAGTGATTTGGCCAAATCTTTCCTTGATACCTTAATTTTAATCTATAAAAGTTATATAATCATTCAGTCCTTATTTCAATTTGATCATCAGTTTATCTGTCAGTAAGTTAAACTCCAAGAGATCAATAAAAATTTTATTCACATCCTCTAATAGATTTGGGTGGGAAACAAAGCGCGAAAGCTCAAATCCACCTTCAGTTCTTGGTTTCATAAATTTATCATTGAATGGTTCAACAACACATCTTTTCACTAAATTTTTAGTCAACTTCTTATCATAATTTTTATAGAAGTTGATATATTGAGGTGTATGCATGAATCCGACCAACTATCCCATTAGAGAAACATATTCAGGCAACTGATCATTATTTAAACCTTTCATCTTCTTGAAGCATAGAGTAATTTATTCGAATTTCTTTTTTTGTCCTTTCGCTTAGTCAAATTTAGCATCAGTGATGGCCTTAAGAGCTTGAAATGAATCTCTAAGAGAAGATGCAAGAGATTATAATGTCTGATTAGTTTCGTTCAATGAAGTATCCATAGTATTTAATGCAAACTTAATTATCAATATTATATTAATTTAGCCTATATATATAAATTTTCTTCACTCAAATCAATTTATTATAATGATTGTATGGGGTTTTGGGGTTTTGGGGTTTTGGGGTTTTGGGGTTTTGGGGTTTTGGG